CGATTAATGACTCCAGATGAATTACAGCGATGGCATGACAAAGAGGTAATTTATGAGGTGCTAATTTGGATTTCTGCAGCTTATAATCTACCATCATCTTAGGGAAGAAATGGCTGTTAGATTCGTATTGCTTTTCCTTTTCCTTCATTAGTAGATGACGAAAATATCTTATAAATGGGAAATGTAGAAAAACGTAGCATAAACATGTTAGCAGACTGAGAAGGACTCTCTTCTGATTAAACCCGCTTTCAAAAAAAAAACAGTTGCCAGAATGAAATTACTAAAAACATTTCTTTTTCATAATATCATAACATTTCAAATATTCTATTCAGGTTTTTTCGCCTACTGTAGAATATTGGAGAATCATCTTCGATAGCCTATATTTCACAGTTTTAGACTCGTGAGCACAGAAAGGCCGAATCGAAGCTGAATGGGTCGCGTCGGAAGGAGATGTTACCTGAGGGCCCGATAGTTGACGAAAAGTCCTTTAGGTAAGTAAATAGTTATAAGCAAAATTTGCAATTTCTGCCACGTGATACCTGTTTTGAAAGCATGTTGAATGGAACTTTTATTGCGAGCGAAATTTTCTATAATTTTGCTTTACTTCTTACCTCTACGGCTACGAGTTACCAATATGTTCTAATAAATTGATTTACTCCTCCGTTAAGTAATATTTAGTGAAATAATAAAAGAATAACTTGTGGTGAGCGTATATCGAGCAGCTCATCATCTCTTACTTCAGTGCTCGGCAGTCCAAACAGAACCCACCGGATTGGTCAGCAGAAGCGCAAGAAGCCTACAAGCTTCTAGTCGAGTGCGGTCGCGACCTCACCAACAATGCATCATCACGTTCTAGTCCCACTATTGATGATTTAGTAAGCTTTGCCTAAATCTTATATTTTGTCATGTTCTGTATACCTCGTCTACAGAAACTTTGAACCTGCCCTTATTAGTTCTTACAGAAACGAGTTACTGTAATCGAAAAGAAGCCGGCGACAGTGTCGCCGGCGCCGGAGAGACCCGCCATACCGCCTCATAATCAGGGAATCGGAAGTATAAACGAGGGTGTAGAGGATGTAACAAGCTACTCACCACAGAAACGGGTTCATATCATCGAAACAAAGCTGCTAACGACGAAGTCGACGGATGAGGTGAGATATTCAACCTCATTGTTAGTTTTCTATCTACTTTATGCAAATGTTAAACAACTTTATCTCACTACAGAGTAACACGGGTCGGTTCCAAATCCTTGCAAATTTTTTAAAAAAAGATTTTCTTCTGT